GCGGTTATACTCCCGAGTGATAAAATCGTTGTACCACCAATTGTCCCAGAAAACCTCCCTGTTATACCCTTAAGTGACAGTCCACCACCTTCAAGGTGGAAACCTGGGCAGAAACCATGGAAGCCATCTTATGAGCGAATTCAGGAGATGAAAGCTAAAACAACCCATTTAATACCCACGCAAACTAATTACAGTTTAATGGTCATTAAAGAGACTAATACTTCTTCCTCCTACCGGAAAAGAGAAAGGAGTTCAGATAGCGACCGAAGCGGTTATTCCAAATATCGTAGTGACAGAAGCTCAGATAGTTGGTTGAGATCAAGGAGCAGGTCCTCTCGAAGCAGGTCATACTCAAGATCTTATACGAGATCTAGAAGTCCATCTAGCTCCAGGACTAAATCTCGTTCTTCTGACAGATCACCGTCACTGAGTAAATACCGCAGTGACAGGTCGGGTTACAGTGAGTCAACCTCTTACTATTCCCTTAGCGATGATGAGAGACACAGAAACAACAGAAAAACCACAGCGAGTGATCAAAAAACTCGATCTCTTAAAATGAGGCAAGAAACAAGCTCTGAAAGTACTCTCCCTTATAAGACTCCCTATGATGAGTCTTCTCAAGGATTGAAAGAGAGTGACAGTTTATCATCTTCAGACTTCTCCACTGGCAGTGAACGTTCTGCCAAAATGCAAGTAGCCCAAGAAAAAGAAGGTCGTTTTCAATTAGAAGGAGATACTCAGAAACAGGATAAAAATAACGTAAGTTCTGAGAGAGGGGAGGAGAAATCCAAACATGAGTGGGATTCTGATCATGCTAAAAAGAAAGCAGCTAAGGAGAAATCTTCTGAGCAACCTAGAGGTGGTGCAAAAACTAAACGAAAATCCTATTCGAGTAGTAAATGGGACTCTGAATCAAATTCTGAAAGAGGAGGGACAAGGTATAATAGAGGAGATTCCAGATTCTCCTCTAGTAAAGAAGAAGGAGAAGCCACATCAGGGTCTGATACAGAACTTAGCGTTACCAAAAGGATAAAAAAACAATCAAATTCTTCAGAAGGCTTTCTGGATTCTGATGGTACCTGGAAGAAAAGCAAACGGTTGTCACCTTCTGAATCTGAGAGTTCTTGCTCTAGCTCAACAAACGTTAGAGGAAAGTCAAAAAAACACAAACACGGATCAAAAAAACCTGTTAAAAAATCACATTCCAGAAAAGCAAAAGAAAAATCAAAAGGGAAAAAGGAGAAGAAACACAAAGTTCAGAAAATAAAAGAAACGTTTCATTGGCAGCCCCCCTTGGAGTTTGGTGAAGATGATGATGATGAGATAAATGAAAAACCAGTTACCAAGGATGAGAAAAAAGAAAAGCAGCTTACCAGGGACATAAAGGATAAAAAACAAGTTTATGAAAAAGATGAAATAATCAAAGATAAAATGGGAAATAGTGAAAAGTCTTGTGTGGATGAAAAGCTTTCAGGTAAAAACATTATGTGTGATAGCTCACCTGATCGCAGTAACCTTAATAAAGATAGCATCGAAACAAACACTTCAACCAGTGTTTTAAACTCAGGAATAAATGTGACCACTTGCAAAAATGAGATTAAACCAGCTGAAGAAAGTAACCAGAACGGCTTGGAAGATGTTATTCAGACAGATGACAGCATGGAGATTTGTACTCCAGATCGGAACTCACCAGGGAAATTGGATGTGGACATTTTGTCTCCTGTCATTCTCACTGCTAAACCTCAGGCTCTAAGTGCTAATGTAAACAAAGATTTACAGGTTGAGACCCCTGAACAAGATGTTGTCAAACTAGGAAACAATATTATCGACTTTCTTAATATTAAAGAAGAAAAAGAAAAAGAAATAGAAATGGGAAAGCAAGAAAGTAACTCGGTCCCTGTGTCAGGTGTTAAAGACTGTAGTTTAAAAAGTGAAAATACTGAAAATATGCAAAGCAACACGGTAGATAATAAATGGAAACCTTTGCAAGGTGTTGGTAACTTACAACCAGCGACAATCAGTGCTGCTGCAGAAGTTAAGAATGTAGCTTCAGCACCAGAACCTAAACCAGCAGGTTTAAGAATTGAAATAAAAGCTAAAAATAAAGTAAGGCCTGGATCTCTCTTTGATGAAGTTAGAAAAACAGCACGGCTAAATCGAAGGCCAAGGAACCAAGAAAGTTCCAGTGAGGAAGAGTCTCCAAGTAGAGATGACAATAGCCCATCCAGGAGTCTCAGTAGGTCACGAAGTAAATCTGAATCTAAATCCAGTCACAGAACAAGATCCATATCTTATAGTCACTCGAGAAGTCGATCCCGAAGTTCTACCTATTCATATAGGTAAGAAGTTTGTGCTATTCCCACTGTTAACTTGAAAGTTCTGATATTTTTAAGGCATATTTTTCTTTTTCAGCTCATGCTTTTCTTTTGAACAGCACTGTATCATTTTTAGCAAGTATGGAGTAAATATTTAGCTTAAAAAATAAAAGCTTTATAATGCTTTTGCTTCCTGTTTTCTGCTGCTTTTCTCTTCACTTATATTCTGTTTGGTGCTTTTCAAAGTTGTTCATTGATTGTAGGTCAAGAAGCTACACAAGAAGTCGAAGCAGAGGATGGTATAGTAGAGATCGATCAAGAAGTCGCAGTAGTTCTTACCACAGTTACGAGAGTCGTAGGTAAGTTTTTCTCTAACTGGAGATATTGAGTGTATTAGTGTGGGAGTGTATCAAAAACCAGCAAATTACACATAGCAGTGCGGTGCTTCAGTCTCTGAGCGAGTTGGAAATGTGCTTAGCTGTGCATGCTGAAATATCTGCTTGAATTGTGCAAGTTAGAACAGCCAGATTTCAAAATTTCCTGTTACTGGAAAATAGTTTGTGTCTAATATAGAATCATAGAATGGTTTGGATTGGAAGGGACCTTAAAGATCATCCAGTTCCAACCCCCCTGCCATCAAGCAGGGACACCTTCCACTAGACCAGGTTGCTCAAAGCCTCATCCAGCCTGGATGAAGCTTTTGTAGTACGGATAAGAAATTCTCAGGAGATGTTCATCTTCAGCACTTGTTTCTGATGAACTTCAGATGTCTCTGTGTTTTTCTTTTCCTCAGTCGAACCTATAGTAGAAGTAGATCCAGAAGTAGTTCTTACGGTCGTCACAGTCGATCCAGGTATGGATTATAGATTTATACAAACTGCAATAAATGAGCTTATAAAAATGCCTTAGTATAAGAAATACACCTTCATCTGTGCTACTTAAAAATATAATATCATGATAGCAACTTGAATCAAAGCAAAATCAACATAAGACACTTCTAAAAGCTGAAAATGACCAAATCATCCTGACATCACAGTTATAGGTGATGATGTAAGCAATAGTGGACACATTTCCCTTCATTGTCAAAATAAAACTGAGTTATAAATGAAATCCCTTTGTTGCTTGTTTTCAGAAATATTAGCAAACAAGATTTTTTTTTTTCCCTGTATCTACAATTTGTAGAGAAAACACAAAACTTTTTAAATGCGTAGTAAGTTGTTTCTAGATGAACAGCTTGAGATTTTTACTGTTGTTTTGGAGATACTTGTTCTAGTATTTGAACTTTAATAAAATGTAGAATTACTGTTTGCCCCATCCTTCAAAAGTAACTTCTGTATAGCCACTCATCTCTGGATATAAATATCTTTAAAACATACATTTAAAATAATGTTTTAGATAGAATCATAGAATGGTTTGGGTTGGAAGGGACCTTAAAGATCATCCAGTTCCAACCCCCCTGCCATCAGCAGGGACACCTTCCACTAGACCAGGTTGCTCAAAGCCTCATCCAACCTGGCCTTAAACACTTCCAGGGAGGAGCAGCCACAGCTTCTCTGGCCAACCTGTTCCAGTGTCTGACCACCCTCACAGTGAAGAACTTCTTCCTAATATCTAATCTAAACCTCCCCTCTTTCAGCTTAAACACATTTCCCCTTGTTCTGTCATTAACTGTCCTTATGAAAAGTCCCTCCCCAGCTTTCTTGTAGCCCCTTCAGGTACTGGGAGGCCGCTATAAGATCTCCCCGGAGCCTTCTCTTCTCCAGGCTGAACAGCCCCAACTCTCTCAGCCTGTCCTCATACCAGCCCTCGGATCATCCTGGTGGCCTCCTCTGGACTTGTTCTAGCTGCTCCAGGTCTCTCTTGTGATGAGGGCTCCAGAACTGGACGCAGTGTTCCAGGTGAGGCCTTACGAGAGCGATAAGAAATTGTGAATTTACAATTACTTTCTTTTCCCTTTAAAGCAGGTCGTACACATACGATAGCTACTACAGCAGAAGTCGAAGTAGAAGTAAAAGGAGTGACAGCTATCGAAGATCTAGAAGTTACGATAGGCGATCCAGGTATGTTTTTGCTACCATGACTTTGACACTGTATTCATGCAAAAGAATTTGCTAAATACATACTTACAATGTTCACGAAGGCTAATGCTGTTTTCCCCCTCCCAAGCATTAAAAATAATACATCATGACCAAAAGTAATGATTAAAAACAATTAAAATCAGAGCAAGTGTGTGAGTGAGTAAATCAGAATTTCTGACATACCAAATTTGAGAATGGGGAAGAAACTAGGATAAGAAAAATTCGAGGAGTTTCCAGTTTATTGTATGCATATGTTCAAAATAAGCACATTTGGGGTTTTAAAATAATTTGAAATATTTATTTAAATATTTTAAATATTCATATATTAAATATATTAATATATATTTTAAATATTCATTTAAAATGACAATGAACTCAAGATTTAATTCAAGTGCCCTGTTATGGATTAAAAGCTACCTGGTATGCAAAGAATTCAATTGGATGGTAAATGCTTTTTGGTTAGATTGCAAAAGTGGATTTAAAAACCAAAACTGGAAGGGAAATTAAAAATGTCGATACTATCCAGAATTAATTTTTTAACTTCCTAGAACATATTTTGAAAAAATATTTTACCTCCAAATCCAGTGTGCTTCCGATGATGAATTTAGGATCAATTTTATTCTGCTCAGTCCAGGGGAATTACACAGGTGTAAGCGAACACATTTCACAAAGATCAGAAGTGGAACAGGAAATAGAGAGATGGAAATATATGTATCTATATCTAAAAAATAAAAGTGAGGATTTGTTTTGTACCTTTTAATATATCTCACATTAGTCAGCAGTAAATCATGTAGGTCTCTGACTACTCTGAATTTTCATCCTCTGCTGTCCTCATGCTCATTTTTGTCACAACTTTGTACCAGCTCTTAATAGACTTTGCTCTCACCCATTTCCTCATCTAGTTCGGACAGTAAAACAACTTTCACCTTGTGTTTGAGGGAAAATTAATGAGATTAACAAAAAGTGTGGAAATAAACTTACAAAATCATTGGGTTAGGATAGGATGTTGGGAAGCTTCAGCGAAACAGTGCTGGATTAGGATATGCTTATCTCTCATTGAGAAAGCTTTGCTTATAGGCACGAGGATAGAAAATACCTAATGAAAGTTTATTCTCTGTAATTTGAATTTGTCCTGTGGCTTGTCTGAAACCATGTGTGAGGTGGTCTTCACTGTGAGGGTGGTGAGACACTGGAACAGGTTGCCCAAGGAAGTTGTAGATGCCCCCTCCCTGGAAGTGTTGAAGGCCAGGCTGGATGAGGCTTTGAGCAACCTGGTCTAGTGGAAGGTGTCCCTGCTGCTGGCAGCGGGGTTGGAACTGGATGATCTTTAAGGTCCCTTCCAACCCAAACCATTCTGTGATTCTCTGATCTGGGCTCTATCTTGATGCTTGGCCAGGTGCTGAGCTTGGAATTCTTCTGGATAAATCAAAACTTTTTGATCTACAACTTCCACTCTGCAGATACTCACACACTCTTGTTGTTATGGGGCCTAATTCTTGAGACCCTTCTTCAAACAAAAAACCTGCAGCCTGTAAAGCAAGGATTTGTGAAATCATCTTAGTTGAGAAACACTTTTAATCTAAAAAAACATTTGTTAGAATGTACTTCTCAGTCAGCTAGTAGCATTTACAAAACCACTTATTTTAGATTGCTTCTAAGCTGTATCAGAGAAAGCGAGAAGTTTTGTAGCTGAACACAGTTTGACTTGAGTTACACGAGCTTTTCATTATGTAAAGTTAATTATTTTTTTTAATTTTGAGTGTCCCTTAATGAATATTTTGGTTACATTAAATATGATCCTGTAAAGGCTTCTTATATATATTTGTCTTGTCTCGTGTGCCTCTGTGTGTGTCCTGACAATTATTTTTACATGATGCAATTTTGAATTTGAAGCTCACAATGCAATTTTGAGGCATTTTAATCTTTTCTTTCTAGATCATATGGCTCTGACAGTGAAAGTGATCGCAGTTACTCTAACAACCGAAGTCCCAGTGAAAGCAGCAGATACAGCTGAAAACGTTTCTTTGAGGATGGAAACTGTTTAATAATTTTTTCAGTGTTATGTTGAAAAAGAAAAACAAAACCAAACCTGTTTTGACAGTGTCTCATGTGAAGTTGAAGGATGTTTACTGAGCTGAAATTTTACTGTTTAACAGTGAACTCGACTGACTGTATAGTTACAGAGAGGAGTGCTGAGCTCAACTCAACTGATTTTATTTTTTCTTTCTTTTTTTTTTTGAATGTTAAATGCTACTTTTATAAAATAAGAAAAAAAGAAGAAGAAAAAAAACCAAACAAAACAACAACACAGTTTTGTTTTCTTGAATTGGATTTTCCAAGCCATGAATGACACTTAGGTGAATTTGCTGCCACCACTTTTTCTGGGTGCAGTAATCAGTACTGTCTTGAATGATGTTTATATACACCTTAGGGCTTTCTGCCTGTTACTATTCAATTCTATACTAGCAACTATAAAACTGTGAAGAAACCTTCTTACAAAGGCTGCCATTTCTGGTTTATTAAAATGTTGTTTTTTTTTTTTAAATGCTGGAAGATGGTTTCCACTCTTGTCTTGTTTGTTGATGTTTGAGTTGTATATACACAACAGTGAGGTGATGAAAAAACAAAGACTGCCACTCTGTCTTAATCCTTCCTGTACTGTGATACTACAGAAATCTACTGAAAACAGGTGAGATTCTCCACGATGGGAATTGTCAAACTGTGAGCAAAAGTGGGATGAATGAGTTTTGATCTTAATATCCAACTTGTCTAAACTTTTCTGTTTAAAAGGCGAATTTTGTGATAAACAGCAATGTTCTTAAGAGTCTTGAGAGGAAAAAAAAGTGTTTTAAAACACTTCTTAAATTTAATTTCAATTCCTATTACAGTGTTTGGCATACTTTGACACATTTTGAAGTTAAATGTTGTAAACCGTTGAGCATATCATTAGTTTATTCAAAACACTTTTTAAAAAAACTTAGGTGATGATGATTTTTTTTGGAGAAAACAAACCATAATGGTTCCTTTATAAAATATCTGTAGGAATATCCCATTTGCTCTAGGGAATATTGATATTGCAGATACTGGACTGTATATTGTTAAAGTGATATGGCTACAAAAATACTGGTATGCCTGATAACAAGCATGGACAATACTCTCAAAATAACGTTTAATACCAAAAATGACTCCATGTTACAGGTAAATGGCTTGCAAAAACAAGAAAAAATCAAAACCCCGTAGATTTAAACTGAAGAGCATCGAGTAATTTTAGCAATATTCTGATTGAATGGATTTAAAATAATTTGTAAAGTTGTTTTTTTTTCAGTATTTAGCAAGTTGTGTATGAAGAAACAGGTTTTTTTAATGACATAATGCAACTTGCAAAGTAGAGTCTGTAGTGGCAAACCAGCCTAACGTAGCTTTATTAGAGCTAATGAGTACTGGTGTATTATATTAGTTTTCATGACTGACTTTCTGTAATATCTTGAGATGCTTTCATTTTTCTCAAATGTTTTCAAATATTGAAAATGATTTTTTTTTTTTTTTTTAATCTCCTCAAGACCCAACAGCTTTGAAAATGAAAAGTGATTATTTCTTGCTTAGACATCAATTCATACTGTCTCTTTGATTAAATTAAGTTATCCCAAATTAGGTTTTGGTACATTTCTGAAACATTAAAAGAAAGTTCAAAGAGAAGTTTGAAGACTGTGATGATGCCTTCCATTTCTGTGAACAGCTGAATGAGACACTTGTATGCAAGATCCTAAAACTGAATTTATCCTACAGGTTTTTCACTTTCTAGAAGAACCCAAAATTCTGGATTTACACCCTTCTTACTCCTGTAGTTCAAAGAAAAACAAAGTGTGTGCATGTAATCCTTTCAAGTCAATATTTGGTGAGCTTCTTATGCTTTTTAGCACTAAGTACATTTATTCCTCAAGTCACAATATATTTACAGACCCGTTTCTAACAGTAGCAGCCATTTCAGAATCCTCAACAAATATTTTATTGCTAACTCAAGGTAACGTTTGTTGCAGTTTTATCATTTTAAGTAAAAATGTAATTTGTGGGATTTTTTTTTTCCACAAACTGAGAAAATAGAACTAGTTGGGCTAGTGGTGTAACAAAATACACAAATATAAACATAGCCATTCAATAATTATTAGGGAAAAAATTACTTCAGAATTGAACTTTATCATATTTCACACCTGAGTTGACTTTTTATTTTTAAGACCAGGAAAAGGTATTAGAAATACAATCAATTAATTGCAGTTGTCCAAAATTACTGCAATGTCACCAATGCCTATTTAATATCTTGAATTAAAGCTTTATAAAGAAATCCATCTGGTAGATGGTTGGGGAGGGGTGTGAGAGAAGGGGTGGGGGGGTGATGGTGGTATTTTTATTTAGTGAAGTCTATTAAATTATGCTTCAGATAAAAAAATGTCCCCCCCGAGCTGGTTTTCTAACGTTGCTCTATGTTTTTGCAAATTTTGTTATTCAAAAATAGTTGCTGTTTGTAAAAATAAAACTTTTGTACATATCTGCAAATGGTGTTTTTCTCTAAAGCTGGAAAAAAAAACCAACAACATTGCTGCTTGAGGGAAATTAAGTTTATACTTCAATTTCTGTATCTGCTTTTGTCCCTTGAAAGATGACATCCACGTTGCCTTTCCTTTTCCTGACCTACATAGAGAACGATTCCTCAGCAAGACTCTGAACTGGGTTTACATAATAGTCGTTGGGGGAACAAATATTTTGAAGTTTCCAGGTGATTTGAGGTCTCACTGTTTCCTCAAGGTACATAAATCAGGTTCCTGTCCTTCATGAAAAGAGACACTTAACAGATCGACGTGGAAATCTGAGTTTAACCACTTTGCTAAATATTCTTTCCCAAATACACATTCCCACATCATTTCCGTAGCATATTGGAAATGTGATAGTTCAAATCAGCAGAGGGAATGGCTCAGCAGACTTGAGTCTTTTAGACCTTCTGTTCCAGAAAAAAAAAAACCTGGATTTCATTGGAAAATATCAGCTTTGTCCTAATGGAAAGGCTGATTGCCTTGGTCTGAGGTGAAAACCATGAGTGGGAGTGTTTCCTTGTTGTTCCATTTCATCTTTAACGTGATCTGGTTAACTTGGCATTTACCAAACTTCAAAGCACTGCTTTTGAGAAGTCATAAGAAATCCTAGGCAGGAATTTGGTGATGAAAGATGTAAAAAAAAAAAAGGTAATTTAAGGTAGGGGAAGGATGAATGGCTCCATAAAGACAGCAAACACAAAAAATAGGGCAAAAAATTTTAGACAAGCTCTGCGTTGCACCATCTCTGTCTTCCTCATTAAAGAGAAATAGTCAATAACCTCTATTTTAAATGCATAATATTGCTTTTTGTGCTTAAAAAGCCATATTCTGTACAGAAATTAGCAAGTCTGGGATCCTGATGTTTAATGTAGAGGTCAAGCTGTCACCTTGAGCCAGCTCTGGCAGCGCGGCGGAGCGCGTAGTGTTAAAAATAGAGTGGCTGACACCCGCTTCTGTATTACTCATTAGTGACATTTTTCGATTAAAATAAGCCTTAAATCCTGCAGTGGAGTAAAATGATGACTCGAGTTATAAGTGATTTCATCCAAAAAAGAAAGAAAGAAAGAAAGAAAGAAAGAAAGAAAGAAAGAAAAAGTTTCTAAATAAGGTTAAGTCTCTACGTCTTTGGTTGCAGAATATTGTGGTGTCACAGTGTAAACAAGTTTTCTCTCTTGTTGCAACTGATTTATCTGGAACAAGACAATATTAAGTAAGACAATATTAAATAAGACAATATTAATGAAATAAGGCAATATTTAATAAAACATTTGACTGTCAAACAACTCATTCTTCTACAAAGCAACAGCAGAAATCCCCTTTTCCTTCCCGCTGTCTCACTTTTAAACAAGGGCTGTGGTGTCGGTGCTCTCTCTCTCTCAGTGTATTAAATTTCTGTCGGTGGCTTTGTGTCCTTCGTGATGATCATGCTTACAGTTTGGAGCAGAACACAGGATTTAAATGACCTTGAGCTACACTCTTGGAATCCAGTTGGTGTCATTTCCAAGCGCTGCCTGGGATTTAAATCACGAGGAGATAAAGCTTTGCATGCTCCACCCCTACTTAACAGCCATATAAATATATAATTTTTTCTATATATATGGTTCTGTGACACGAATGATTTTCCACCTGGTTTTAAAATGCTGTAGCTGCTTAATTTGGGTAAGTTAAAACTGTTTAAAAATTATATAAAATGTAATACATAAATATATGTATTAAAGGGACCCGGTTGTTAATTTAATAAGGTCCATGAAATCCCTCTGAAGTAGGCTCGCGCGTGTGAAATCAGACAGGCTGCGGCAGTTTGAGGATTTAAATTTGTTTTAATTAAAGGAATATTTCAGACTCACAGTGAATGCCCAAAGAGGGGATGGGCATTAATATGATATTAATTTGGTATTAATTGATATTTCTGCTGTGATGTGTATCTGTTCTTGAAGTAACGTGGTGCAGCCCTAGAAAACCCGTGTCCTTACCCAGCGGTGGTGTAACATGGAGAGCCCTGAGCTCAATGTACCTTGTGAATGCTTGTAGCTCCTGCCCTGGCATTAGGTCCTAGTCCTGGCCTTAGGCTGTGAAATTCCTTAATTAATTCCCTAATTAAGCCAGGAAGAGGCTGCCCTTCCCTTCAGGCTTTCTTGTTCTTCCAGCTCACCCTGTGAGAGAGGAGAAGGAAAAGTTCTTCCCCTCTCCTAGTGCCTCAGCTGCTTGTCCCATCACTTGGGCAGCACCTGCATCACTTCTCCCTGCTCTGCTTTGGAAAATGAGCTGTGAAAAAGCAGGAGGAAGATTGGGAAGGTCCTCAGGAATGGGAGAGGGTAAGGGGTTGATGGTGGCACTTCAGAAGAAACACCTGATGCTCTGGGGAATGTACCAGTGAGACAACTCAATCAACAGGGGCTTTGGGGTCTTTGAGTGCTGGAGCGTGTCC